CATATTAATACTATTGTAAAGGGTGGCTTTTAAATTTCAATTTCCAGTTATTTCTAGCACGTAGAGATAAAATTGAGTTTTGTATATACTGACCTTGTACCTTACTTTGCTAAACTCATTAATTCTAGTAGCTTTTTTGATTCTTTAGGGTTTTTGACATGTATCTTTAGGGTTTTTGACATGTATGATCATGTTAGGAAAAACACACAAACTGCCAAAGTATTTTTCCTATACTCTCACTCAGCAACAATCAATACTGAAGACAGACTTCTGACTTCTGTAACCAAATGTGTAAGGATTTCTCCCCACCAGCAAGCAAGCAATCCTGCAGCAGACACTGCTGGGTGTACTCCAACTCAATTCTGACACGATCTTCCTGGTGATAGTGTCAGATCTCACAGGTTGAGGACTCAGTCCTCAAGACTGTCCTCCAGGTCAGATGCCAGTTACAAGCCCAGACTTCTGGAACCTCTGACCAACCAGCTATAAATTGGGGTTCCCACAACTGCCACCTTGGGTTTGATTAGTTTGCTAATGCAGCTCACAGAACTCAGGGAAAGACTAATTTACTTATGTTTACCAGTTTATTATAAAGGATAATACAAAAGATACAGAGGAGAAGATGCATAGGGCGAGGTATGAGGGAAGGGGTGTGAAGTTTCCATATCCTCCCTGGGAGCTACCTTCTAGGAATCTCCTCCACGTGTTCAGCTATCTGGAAGCTCCCCGAACCTGTGCTCTTGGGTTTTTATGTAAGCTTCATTACACAGGCAAAATTGAAGCATGGACAGCTGTGTACCATGTAGAAATGAGATTAGACAAAAAGGGTATGATCTAACACTAACAGACTGGGTGGGGAAACCCAGCAGGCCTGTTTGTTCAGATTCTTCTTAGCCTCTTCATGCATTTCTTCCTCGCAGGCATGAGGTGAGCCCCCTTCTCTAATGGGGGTCTTATGACCTACAAATAAATAAGGTAGGTCAAAGAATTTCTTTATGGCCAGCTCCAAGACAGAAAGGTGGGAGATTAGAATAAACCAGGAACCGTGGATGAAAACCAAATTACACATAATATCACATCATGTATTCTGCAGTTATATTTCTTACAGTAGGCATGCTTTATCTTTTTCTTGACTTTTTTCACAGGCTAGAGAGCCAGTATCTCTTTACCTTTTCCCAAATATTAAGGTGGGGGGGAGAGAGACAAACCATTATGTACCAAATTGAGCTGTAGGTTTCTTCGATACCTTTTATCAGATTAAGGAAGTTCTCTTCTAAATCTAGTTTGCTGAGTATTTTTATAATGAATAACTATTGAATTTTATTGTATACTTATTCTGCATCTATTGAGATATTATGTTCTCTCCTCCCTATCCTGTATTGTTAATTTGGTAAATAATACTGATTTTTAAAATTCTTCTAGGAATTAATTTTTAAAAAAAATTCAATTATAGTAAAATACACATAAATGTAACATCTTAACCATTTTTAAGTACAGTTCAGTACTGTCAAGTATATTTATTGTTGTGCAACCAATCTTTAGAAGTTTTTCATCTTGCAAAACTGAAACTATATACCCGTCAAACAACTCCCCCTTCCCCATCCCTGCTACTAATTCAAATTTTATTCTACATGAAGTGGTCCTTCATCACAGAAAGCTTTTTTTTTTTTTTTTTAAGATGACTGGTAAGGGGATCTTAACCCTTGACTTGGTGTTGTAAGTACCACGCTCTCCCAAATGAACTAACCGGCCATCCCTTTATAGGGATCCGAACCCGTGGCCTTGGTGTTATCAGCACCACACTCTCCCAAGTGAGCCACGGGCAGGCCCTCACAGAAAGTTTTAAAAGTAGTGTTCTAAAGCAGTCAGTAATTAGTAAAAAGCATTTTGAACATGTGCTTGGCTTGCAAATTCAACTTTAAAGCCATACAAAAAAAAATTGAAGCCCTGAGAGAACAAATATACCTCATTAATGTCCTGACTGATGGTTTTCATCACTTCGAACTAAGATAAAATTAGATTGTGTATTTTTAAAAGTTTATTTTCACTCAAGCTACAATTTCTTATTTAAGCATTTCAGTCAAAATTTGATCATTGCTTGACCATAAACAAAGCCATGAGTCACATTTTTTCCTGACTTCTTCCATTCCTCTATACTCTGGTCCTGGCTGGAGCATCTTGGGAATACTCAGCTGTCATGAACAGATATATATATATATTTTTAATTAGAAAGAAAAAAAAAGGCATTGCTATTTTTAGTTTAACAATCATCAGCTTGCCTTCTGACAAGTACTCAGTCTTATCACTTCATCTGCTATTATTCTAAAACAGTTTGGGTTTCTGGATGGGATTTCACTTATTTTCTTAAACAGTCTAACCTCTTCCAACTAATTTTAGTTCAGTGGAATCTGTTCTTCCCAAATCAATAGTTTTTAAGTAAAGAAATATATAGGAATCATATGTACAATACATCAGAATCACATGTACAGACCATTAGTGGACTGTCAGATTTTCATTCAACCAAATTTCTTGGGAATTTGAGACTATTTGTTTTCAGGAAAAAGACTTTAAGCCACATAGAAACATACTGTATAACAGTTTTATTTTTCTCATTTTACTATTTTAACATTTTATGCACAAATATGTTTTGTCTGAGTAAAAATAGAAAATAACTGTTTTATGTAAAATTACCAAAAAAAAAAACCCCACAAAGAAATACATAATTGTTATTATGACAGTATAAGTGTCTTTATTTAAAGAGTAAAAATGTATGCAAAAATCCTCCTCCCTTTTACAAAAGATTGAGAATATTGTTTTCCTGGCAGCAAGTGAAATATTGAACTATCGATATTTTACACCCTTTAGGTCTGAAGATATTAGGTTAGTCACAGGTTTATTCTGTAATTATGAGTTTTAAAACACTTTTGTGCTATTTCAAAGATACACTAGTTCTTTTTAAAAAGCAGTAGCATAAAGTGATGAATATGGAAAACAGCAGACCTCGTCAAAAATATTTGAAGGCACAACCCTTTAAAGAAATATCTATACTCAAGTATCAACATTAATCAGGGGAGAAACTAAACATTTTTTCCTAATTGACATGTACTGATACAAAAATAAATGTGACCAGTTGATTCATGTGAAGATCAACCACACATAGCAATTCTGCCTAATTTGTTTGATTTTCAGAAACCAACACTAATTTTCAGACCTCAGGCTAGCAAGATACGTATGAAAGCTGGCTCAGTGAAAACCTCACACAGAAAACAAGTTTTAAAACAGAAGTGAATGTTTCATTATTTTTGTACCTTATAAGGTACAAGAGATGACAGATAAATTTTATCTTTCTTCCTTTGAATATACTGCAAATCCTCCTATGAAAAATTTATTCATAAAAACAAAGAATAGCATGAATTATATTTTCTTTCACAACACAAGTTATCATCTAATAGAAGAAAAGATTACCTAGCTTTGTGATAACTGTAAACTCAATAAGGACAAAAGAAATATTTAAAACATAAGTTGAGACAAAGTAATGAAAGTTTCTTGGGTCAACTGGAGAAATTAGTCATATGTATGGTACATAAAATGATGGAAAGAGAGAGGTGAAGAAAAAAATAGAAACAGCATCTGATCATGTATGAGAACTGTCTGCTCAAATTATGATGAGGAATAAAATAAAAACTGCCAAAGGAAGAAAATGGATAAAATGTGGTTTTGAAAGAAAGCATCTGGGGAATGATTAAAGGAGAAAAGAAACAATAGTTTGCTTTTAAGGATCTAAAAGAAATTGGGTATTCCTTGCCTTAAAAACATATATATATATAAAATAGAGACATAAGGAAAGTCTATCATCTTGGCTAAAGCTTTAATATAATGTCTCTCCAAAGCATTTTAAATCTAAAAGTCAATATTCTTAAGCTCTTGATAATATACCAGAAGAGTATACTTTATTTTTTAAAACTATAAGTGATTTGTGAACTCCCTAAGCCATGAGAGGATGGTGCAAAACCTTCTTTTTAGCTATCTAAATAGAAGCTAGGGCTACTTTTATTTCATATTGTTATTCTACTCAGATATTCTTCCAATCACAGCACCCAAATTGTACTAATAATTTGCCAGTCTATTCTCTATGTGCTTATAAAAATGTAAAGTGGAAGTTATAAATTTTATTCTTTATCAGTAGCAGCAATTGCTGACAATGCTATCTTGCCGGTATGACCATGGCTCTTTTCTCCTACTTAGTCCCAAGCATTAACTTAGCTCTTATAAAACTATTTTGGGGGATGTACTTAAAGGAAATGATAAGGGAGAAGGTGCATAAAGTAATACTTGAGAATCAACCTTCTGCTATAAGAGGATTAAAAGTTATTTGCCAGTGTCTCATATCATGATTTGTGCATATCTTAAAACAGACAAAAGACAAAAAAAAAAAAAAAAAAAAGGTAGACATTTCTAGCCATTTCTGTTTAGTGTTAGCTCATGTAAATAAGGAATTTCATACATACAAGAATTATTTGATTCTGAAGAAGTAAAAAAATAAGTTAATGATTTTCCTCTTGAATATCTTTATGCCTTCATATATATGTGTATGTATATATATAAAATGGTCAATTGAACATGTATATAGATATTTGTATATACACACATATATATATTCAAAAGGAAAAAAATTAAATAAATGAAAGTTTGTTTTAAGGAGAAGACTGCCTAAAATGGAGGTCAAATTTTCCTTTTAAAACTATTTGCAAGTAATTTACAAATGTCTTGAAAGGGAAAGTACTGCTGAATGACTTAAAGTCTTCATTTTATCAGAAAAACAGGAATATATAAGCTGCTTCGCATAATAAACCAGTACTACAGGGTAATTAAACAAAAAAATGAAAAATAAAAAAAAAAAATAAAAGAAGCCATACCAAACCAAACTTTTACTTTCTGGCTGAGGTATATACCTTTTCAGTTTTTTAAATCTCTGACAGAAAACAGAGATGACTTTAGAATTTTTGTAATAGCTGGTTTATTAGAATTAAATTCCTCTCTCAAAATAATTTAAATTCTTGGTCTGACATTATGAATAATCTATACAGAAAATCCTTAAAATTGGCTTGAGTTAAGCCAGATTTAAACCTGGATCTCCTTTAGCACTGCTTTTTTGGCAGTCAACTTCTTATTGTCCTTTGCTCACAAATATATAAATTACTGTAATAACCTGATACTCTTAGTTTAGTAAGTTATTAATATTATTATAATTTTATTCGATATGAACATTTTAGCTCTGCTTGATTAGATGAAACAGGCACACATGCTTTAGCTGAGAAATTCCATTTTCTGGTTCTATGTAAAGCAACATCTAAAGCAGCAGAGAGGGGAAACAGTTGTATTTTCCAAAATAGTTAAGTCAGACTGTTTCCTAGAGATACTTCATTTATTTTTCATCTTCAGATGCTACTGGCTATTTTTGGTAGGGCTAGACATTAATACTGACCAGTTTAGCTTTCCTGACTGTTAACAAACTATCCCGCAATGAACCTGCCTTCACGCTGCAGTCATTGTGGTGATCCTTTAACATACACATATTCTAAAATATATGCTCAAAGTAAAAAGATCCAAATTCACAAGAGTATGAAATATTTATAAAAAAATCATGCAGCAAATTGTACAAACTAGAAATAAAGAAGATTGAAATTCAGTAATAAAGGTAAGAGCAATACTTGCTCTAAATATTTAAGAAAGACCTTGGATTCCCAGAAGGTCCTGGGGATCAATTATCCTTTTCTGTTTGCAGAGAAGCTGTAGCCAGGGCTACTGCTGTGACTGGTTGGGCAATTCCATGGAGCTGCATCTTTGCAAGTTTCTTCTGTTCACATTCTGTGACCAAACGGTTCAACTCTGCTGCACTGTATCCAATAAGAGTCTTCAAGTCACAGACAAACTTGTATACAAATCTCTTGCCTTGAACTTTACAAATCATGTCCCCATCATAATAATACCTTTAAAGAGAGAAAAACATGTTAGGACTGTATAAAAAATAAAAGAATTTGGGCTTCTTATGATAACTATTCCGTAAGTAAAAACCTAGGAGGGTACTGCATACATCACAATAGCAATTAACACTGAAGTTATATAGAATATTTAATGTTATCATCCAAAGAAACTTCAAAACATTATTTATTAAAATTTCAATACTCAAGACTCTAAAATCTTATATACTAAACTTTCAAAACATATTTTCAACAATTATGATAAAACACTGATTTAAAAATAAACACAATTATTAAGACAAAACACCTTGGGAGAAGCAGTAGAACCTAAGAACAAGGCCTTTGGAGTCAGAAAGCCAAGATTCAGAACCTTGCATCTCAACTTACTACATTTGTGACCACAAGAAAGTCACATTTTCTCTAAACTTTTATTCCTCATCCAGAAAATGAGGTTAAGAACAGTACTCACCCTCACAGAATTGTTGAGGATTAAAAGGATAATCTTTGTAAAGTGCTTAGCACACAATGGCTGGCACATAGTTAGTCCTCTATAAAATATAAGCTTTGTTACTAAGTATACGTACAATATGAAAAAACTTTAATACATATATTCTACGGGTTGTTGGAATGTCCACTTCTTTTCTGTTTTGCACAAAATCCTATATAATGTAGCCAGATCTTCATCTTTATCTTTCGTACTATGTTAAAGCTTTCCCCAAATTTCAGAGACATTATCCAAGCCCAAAAGGGAGTTTTAAAAGTTTAAGTATCCTATCCCCTTACCAGTCAGCTGCCAAACAATTCGAAACAAAACAAAACAAAAAGAAGTATAAGTAAAAGGGCTAGAAGAAACAGATACAGAAATTCAGGAAAAAGGACATTATAAAGAAACAATGTTTCTAAACCTGCATAAACAGATTTGGGTAAATCACTCTAGAAGCTAGTTCATTGCTGCTTTCAATAGAGATGGAAAAAGACAAAGTTGGATTTATATTTACTTTGGAAAAGTCTTTATTTACTACTATGCACTGCTAATTCCAACAATAGGGAAAAAAAAGTAAGTCAAGCTCTCCTCTGGGCAGGCAGATTGTGAAGCCCTTATTTAAAAATTGCACTGCCCATTGACAAAAGAGCTGTTACAAAAGGAACTATTTGCAAAAGTACCAGTGATGTAAACTACCACATTTAGCAGGATTTTATTCTAAAAGTCACTCAGCTTAATCAAGAGTCCATTAGTGAAAAGACTGACCCATATACAGGAAATTATGTCATCTTTCCCTAATTCCAGAACAGCAAAAGTATAATACAGTATTTATGTTCAGTTTCACACATTGGGCAGACGCTTGTTTCCTTTTATGTCAATTACATTAATACAGAATTTGGATCTCAGCCCACAAACCACCAATTGCTTGTCATCCAATTTAAAATGCTGTAGGCATTCCAATTTTTTAAGAAAATTTCTACATTAATATGTAAGGCCATAACAAATAGGCAACTGGGAAAAAGGAAAATGGAGAAGGAAAGTGGTTTTATATTTTCAGGAGGAAAATGGAATTGGTATAAACCTGCCTCTTGGTAAGAGGTGATAAAAAAGGCAAGAATGTGCACACATACATTTTAATTTTACTTAATACTTCCTTCAGTCTAGGAGATGCATCACACAACTGTGTATAGTAGCATTCACTGCATTTGTTCCCTCCCTAAAATGAAAAAAGTAGAAAGGCACACAATACCTGTATTTTCATGGATATGATTTTTTTTTCTTCCCTCTTTTTGAAACTTGTATTTTTTAAAAAACCTTTTTTTTTTTTTTCCTTTTTGTCTTTTTTACTGACCGGTAATGGGATCGCAACCCTCGGTGTTGCGCCTGCACCACGCTCAGCCAGTGAGCAGGAACCAGTCTCCACATGGGATCCGAACCCTCGGCGGGAGCGCCGCTGCGCTCCCAAGCGGCGCACTCTCCAGTGCGCCACCGGGCCGGCCCTAAAAACCTTTTTAATTGTGAAATATATCACACAAAGGATACAAGTGAACAGCTCAGTGATTTATTAGAAAGTGAACATTCATCTGTTAACTATCACTCAAGTCAAGAAACAACAGTGTCAGCACCCAGAAGCCACTCACTCTATGCACCTTTCCAGCCATCACCCCCTGCCCCTGCTCTAAAAGGTAAACACAAGCTTGTTTCATGAAGTAATTTCACTTCTTTTCTTTATATTTTTATCACCCAAACATACATCCCTAAAAGTTGTAACTGATTTTTCCTGTTTTCTGAACTTTATTAAATGTATTCATGCAGTATATAGTCTCTTGGGTCTGTATTCTTTCACTAAACACTGTGTTTGTGAGGTTCATTCATATTGTTCGTAGCAGTAGTTCATTTTCATGGATGCACAGTATTCTCCTGTATAAGTATACCACAACTGATTTATGTGCTGTACTATTCATAGATATTTGAGTGGTTTCTGAATATTATAAATAAGTTACTGTGAGCATATATGTGTGAACACACAAGTACATTCCTGTTTAATATGTACTTAGGAGAGCAACTGGCATTTTATAATTGCATTCCTACCAAAGTGTAAAAGCATTTCCAATGTTCCATATCCTTACCAACACTTGGTACTGGCAATCTTTCTAATTTTAGCTATTCTGGAGGACGTGTTGTACCATTTTATTGTGGTTTTAAATTGCATTTCCCTGATTACTAATGAGGTTGTGCACCTTTGCATATATTCACTGGCCATTTGGATTATCTCTCACCTAAGCGACTTGTCTGTTCAAGTCTCTTATCCATTTAAAAAGATTTTCGTATTGATTTGTAAGAGTTCTTTAGATATTCCAGAGTCTTAGGTCAGATATATGTGGCTTGCCTTTCACTCTCTTAATGATGGCTTTTAATGACCAGAGGTTCTTAATTTAAATGTAGTGCAATTTATTGATCTTTTCCTTTAGGGTTTAGTCCATTTGATTCTGCTTAAACTATCTTTCCCCACCTTCCAAAGTCATGGAGGTATCTATAGATGGTTTTCTATTTTACTATTTACATTTACTAATAAGCTACGTGAAACTGATTTTTGGTATGATATGAAGAAGAGGTTAAGTTTCACTTTTCCCCCAGATGGATAGTCAATTATTCCAGCACTGCCTGATTGGAAAGTAGGTCTTTTCCTCAGATGTTTCCTCCCCACTGCCATTTCTTTAAATCAATTGCTTATATACTCTTGGTTCTATTTAGGCTCCCTAGTCTACTCTATGGCCTATCCTTGAGCAAATAGAGTACTGTCTTATTATTGCAACTTCAGAGGCAGTCTCAAAATCATATAGAGCAAGTTTTTCCATTTTGCTAATTTTCTTCAGATGTCCTATCATGGTACTTTATAGTCCCACATAAATTTTATAATTATCTTGTCAAGTTCTTCAAAAAAACCCCCTACAACCCCCCCCCCCCCCCAGATTTTGCTTGTTGTTGCATTAAAACTTAGATCTGGGGAGAACTGATATCTTAATGATTAATTTTAATAATTTACCTGTAATTTTGAAGGAACTTGTATGTACACAATCTGTATCAACTGTCAAAATGGTAGTTTTAATTCTGATTATATAGAACAAATCTTCGGATAGTTGGCAAAATGTCTGAGACAACAGGTGATAAGCACATTGAAAACAAAGCATTTAAGTTACTTATAAACTCCAAGGGCAACAAAAGGCCATTCAGGAAAAGGAAAATAATCATGGCAAACTATTTAATAGTACTTACATGGTCATGATCCAGTAACAATGAATACTGATCTAACCAAAATTTCCATATAATTATACTGGGATAAGAGGATGGAAATGGTGCATGTATGTGTGTCTGTGTGTAGTGTGGAGAGCTAAATCATAATCTCTCAGTGTGAAATTCACAGAAAATGGCAAAGTGAAACATGAAGCAGCAGTAAAAGTCATGTTATTTAGAAATACAGAGGTAAGGGCCGGCCCGTGGCTCACTCGGGAGAGTGTGGTGCTGATAACACCAAGGCCACGGGTTTGGGTCCCATATAGGGATGGCCAGTTAGCTCACTGGGTGAGCATGGTGCTGACAACACCAAGTCAAGGGTTAAGATCCCCTTACCGGTCATCTTTTAAAAAAAAAAAAAAAAAAGAAATACAGAGGTAAATTGTAGAATTACTTTACTACACTCTCCCCCCAAATTAGAATTCCATGATATTCCTATATATCCTCTTTCTCAGATACTTAAATGCAACATACTGAATTTCCATCACTGTAGTAAGCATATTATGTCAACAAATTTCATACTACCTATGGGAAATTACAAATAATTTTATTCTCCATTTTTTATTCTATTCCAATTTTATGAATGCAATGCTTGGATATCCAGACTTAGGGAGATTGTGGGAGAAGAAAAACAGGTCAATATTTTGCATCTACTGTAAATGTAAAAACATAAGATGGTATCTACACTTTTGCTAAAATTTATACTTGCTCAATTTACCCATGCAAATGAAAGCATTTTCATGTTATGCAAATGATAAAAACCTTAAATATTAAAATATTAGTTTTAAAAAGAGTACTATATAATTTTAAATCAGATAAAGACAAATAATGTTATAAAACTAAGATCATTAGAATGATCTAATAAATCATTTTAAAAAACTGTATGTACCTCAAAATTATTAATAACATCTTTTGGAAAAGATCATTTTTAATATAATACATATGAAAATTTTAGTTTTTAAATATAAAGAAAATAACAGCTTATGAACAAGTATTTTAATATCGTTACACAACAATGTTTACAACTAGAATAAAGCTATTTCTAAAAAATGCTTGATGTTAGGGGAAAAAAACAGTAATAAATGCTTACCTTAATGCACGACTGAGTTTCTCATAGTTCATTGTAGGCTTATTTTTACGTTGTCCCCATTTCTGTGCAACCAGTTCAGGCTGATTTAGCTTAAACTCGCCTTCGTCACCAACCCAAGAAATACAGTCTCGAGCATCCTTGTCAGTAAGAAGTTCTAGCAAAAACTGCCATAGTTGGATTTGGCCATTGTTTCCTAAATTGACAGGAGGGACAAACATTGTCCATAGTGTTACAGATTAACACAGGACAAAGGCAATACACAAGTCCCTTGGTGTGTAACTCAGACACGGCAAAAACAAATTTTTTTAGACAAATGCTGTCAAAATATTGCCAGAGCAATAGTCCATATTCGCAATTTCAAACAGTGAAACAAAACAAAATATCCCTAATTTGACAAATTTTATAAATACCAGATAATGCAAAAATACCTGTTCTATTCCCAGGTGAGCTTCTATCTTCTCCTGAAATCCTTGGAGCTCTTTGTACTTTAGCTGCCTTTGCACTACTGTTAGTTGGTGTAGCAGACTGCACTGATGCTGGAATAATTTGCACAGCTGCAAAGACAAGGGAAAAAATTTTTTTCTTCCAATGCAAGCATTGAAAATAATTACTAAAAGACATTAAATGCAATTGGTTTAACAACTGCCCCTCTAATTACCTAAAGAAAAGACATCATTACAAAAAGGTGTTAATCCAAAACAGTTTCAAACAAAATCACAAGGAAGTTCAGAGGATAAAGTATGATGTCTGCATTACGGTTTGTAAATCTTAGTGAATGAGAGTTGTTCTCCTTGTTTTGAAATAATAACTTAGTGGTGCATCTACACTAGATGAAGAGATATAATATAAAAACATTTGTTCATAAAAAATGGTTTACCAAATGCTGGAGAAAATGTGGACAAATGAGAACTCACATTCCACTACTGATGGGAGTACACACTCATACCACCACTTTAAGAAAAACTTCGGCACTGCCTATTAAAGTTGAAAGGGTAGAAACCCTAAGATGCCAAAACTAGAGAATTTCATACACATTCTTACAAATACTCATTCAATGATGTTCGCAGCATTTTAAAAACACTACATGGCAATGAAAATGAATGAAATCCAGCTGTAAGTATCAACATGGGTATCATAAGTTATAAAAGGGTATGCATAGTATATTACCATTTTACCCAAATGTTTAAACATGTGCAAAACAATGCTATAAAGTGTTTACAGTTACATAGTTGGTAATAATATAAAATACACAGAGAATAATAAACATCAAATTCAGGATACTCATTTCTCTGGTTGGAGAGAGAAAAGTGGGATCTACAACAGGTAGACTTGATATATGAAGTATTATTTCTTATGGTGTACACAGGTGTTAGTTATAGTGTTCACAAAAGATTTTCTTAAAAGTTTTCCTTTTTACTATCTTGCAGTATCAAATAAAGAAACATTTCTATTAAAAAATGGGCAAATATTGTGGGCAGGAATACTCACGTTGGTCAATCGTAACTATCTCATTCATCTGTTGTTCTTGGCTTGCCAATACATCTGAAGAACACATAGAAAATGTTTTGTTTTCATTTAAAGCTAGAAATACAAACCCAAATCCAGTAAAACTCATCTTAATAAACACGATCCTTTTAAAGGGAACTCTACAGTTAAAACCCAAACCAACCCACCAAACAAAAAGGCAAAACATTAAACAATTGAAATCTATTGGCATAACTTTAAAACACTAAAATTATTTAGAGAAACATTCTGCATTGAAAAGGGATGATCTGTTATAACATCCACTTTTGAATAAAACTGCTTTAACTTTATAATGCTCCTACTTAAAGACTGCTAAATATTCAATAAAACTGTAGCTGCCCTTAATGTTGCAATTAGACTAAATAATTAAACATGTCTACAAATACAGTTGTCAACAAAAGTTTCATTTATAAAAGGTCTTACATAACCCTTTACAGAACTATTCATTAGTTGCCTGTTGCTATTCTCTCCTCAAACTATTCTTTACCTCTCAAACAATACTTATACTTCCCACTCTTCATTTTTTCATTCTGTTTTGTGCACATCACAGACTGCATGCTTTTCTCTTGAAATTGAAACTGTACCCACCAGCAATCATTCTGGGTAGTAAGTGAGTCCTGGGGTCGGGACCCCCAAGAAAACCCTAGTAATGGTGCCATGCCAGGACCCAATTCAAGATACATAAAGCTGAAAAAAGCTGAGGAAATAAAAGTAGTCAGAATCCTGTCTATTAGCTGGGAACTTCCTTGGGGGTCCTGAGTTTAGGAGCTTAAACAATTATATGGGACTAGCTTCAGACACATCTGGGTTCGGATCTTAGTTCTCACTTACTATGTGACTTTGGTAAATTATTCAATCTCTTTGAACAATACTTTTGTTATATTGAATGAGATACCCACACCTACCACCTCATGAGGTTATGAGGATTAAAGGAAAATGTTTTTAAGTACAATGCCTGAAACATAGTTACCTTTTCAGTAAAATGAAGATGTTACTGTTTGGATAAAAGGAGTCTAGATATGACTCCTAGTTCTGAGCATTCTCCCCCCGATCTGTTGTCTCTCTTGAAGAAAAATTCATGTCTTATGCTTGTGGTAGATTATCCCCAGAATTTTATAAAAGTACCCCAAAGAGGCAAAGTGCTACTGAAATAATCCCATTTGTGACTAAATGAATGAAGGTGCCCTATCCTCAAAAGATGCAAAACAGAAGGTTACCATTACACAGCATAGGCATGACCTGTGGAATATACTATAAAGCAAATGTACCTCACAGGGCCTGGTTTTCCAAAGCCTTGCAGTTTCAAATATTGACCTTGCAGAGGACTGGAAATTTTCCTCAGGCTATAAAGTCTCTGGTGTAAGATAAAGATTTGTAACACAGCAAGGTTGCTGGCTCAAGGACAGACTAGTTACTGATTGTATGTAAAGATACTGAGAAATTGCTGTTAAGAAGGAATGTTTGCTAAGATCAAGCTTTTGTTGATAGCCTTACTGGAATGTCATCTGGTTTGTTTCACTGAAAGTTACCAGCCTATATTGTTAAACTATAATCCCACCTATGTTCTCTTCCTGTAACATCCTGGTCTGGAAAATAAATGCAGGAAGAGAACCTCAATTCGGGGTTAATTTCCCAAGGAAGTGATACCTCTCACTTGAGTGTTCCCAAGGGAAGTTAACTGCTTTGAGCTCTCTCACTGCTCAGAAGAGATGGGCTTTGAGTAATCCTTTGCATCTCCGTCACCAAGGGGAAGCGGGGTGACAAATCCGTGGGGGGTGAAGCAACAATGACCAACCTGTAAAATCAGCTTCTAATCTCTGATTCTTAGACTGGAGTTTGGTATGTTTCCTGGGAACTCTCATGATAGAAGGCAGAACAGAGAAAAAGAGGGGTTTTTGAAGCTTGGTTCGAGACCATACAGGTGCTCTGATGATCACATCCCCCCTAAGTCCCCAATCCCAGCCATGCACGAAGGAAGCAGAGTCCTAAGAGGCAAAACCCTGGGGGATATGGAGGTATTTGATATGAAACATTAGATACTAGATGTAGATGAAGCAATTCTTTTTCCTAAAGAAAACCCTTAGCAAACTGAGACCTTTGCCTTTGGTGACAGGAGACAGATATTTATACCAAGAAACACACTGCAGAACTGGCAATACTAGAACATTTCCCAATTATCCTTCCCCTGTATAGTAGGACTTGGATGAAATTTCAACATAAGGGGAACTGCAGGCAGATGGTGGCTCAGGGGGGTAACCTAAATACAAATATCTGAAGAAGCTCTACCTCTTCAGTATGGCTTCTCCTTGAGAGATCACTGAGGATGAACAGATAACAGAGGCTGAGTTAATAACAGTTCTGTCCCAGGAATTAGTGCCTTTCATAGATATGCTGTAGACTTCTCTCTACAAGAGGGACCAGAGTACTGGATTGTGATCAAACGACCACAAAATGCTTCTGTTCTGAGAAGTGAGACTTGTGAATTATAGAAAATCTGCCATCATCCTGTCCATCCCCACTTTATCAACTGAGCATTAGATTCCCAAACCAGATGGAATTTCCCTGCCAGGGCACAACAAGGAACCATGATTAGATAAGCAAGGAATTCCCCAAGACACTTATCTAGGCTGTGGGGTTTTGCTGCTTTTGAATACAAAGCAACAATTCTAGAGCAAAGCTTTTCTGAGGAAGACTCATCCTACTGCACAGAAATGGAAAGATATACAAGACTCCTTTGCTTTCTGTACTAGGAAAAGTCTATGAAAGAGCTTTAGAGTCTGAGAAGCACTAGGAAAACCAGAAAGAGACAACCACAACAAAGAGCTGGCCAAGGAGAGACTAGGAAAACTATGAATTTGGAAAAAACTAAAGAGTAGTCTAAGCACTATTACTGTTGTATTCTTGAGAATTCCTATAAGAAAATGTTTCAGTAAACATGAATCACATATTAAGAATCTGAAACAATCCACCTTATTCACCTGTAAAGCTCTGCCGAGAAAAAACCCTGTGAAATCAAGGACAACCTCCAACCAAGACATTCAACTTATTTATCTAGTAAGAATTGGAACTGGAAATGCAATGAATGTAGTAGCTTTTAGTGCCGTAGATACTTAAAAAAGAAAGAAAGAAAGAAAGAAAAAAAAATATATAAAGAATCCATACAAAACTATAGATATAAATAATGAAGAAAATCTTTTCTCCAGAGCTTATTTCTTACTCAACAGCAGAGAAAATACCTTGGATGAAAATTCTAAGCATTAAATTATTGTGGAAAATCCCTCCACCAGAGCTCTCTTTGTATTGGGCACATAGTAGAACAAAATGCTACTGGTTACATTTTCATTCACAATTGTTAGAAAGGCAAAGTCAAGTGTGTCCTAATCATGCATTCTGAAAAAATTTGAGTCTGGCTAGTATTTCTGATATAAAACAGTGTCAGAGAATAGGATGCTGCTAACATGTATTAACAGATGTTTTAATAGTCACTGAAATATAAGATGGATTAAAATTCAAACAAAATAAAATACATTTATTTGCGTTCTTTCTGTCAGACAGCCAGTTTCTAATTTATTTACATACTCCCTTAATAATGTCTGTGGAGCATAAGTTTTAAGTGGAAACACTTATAACCATAGGTTTCCATTCAAGATGGTGAGCTGCATACTTCTCCTTTCCCTCTTAAGACCATATTCAATTAACAGTAAAGAAATTAAAAAAAGATTTAATCCCACTAATAACGAAGAGAATGGGAATGAAGGCACCTGTGAACAAATGATCTTAAATTTCTAGAAGATGAGCAGTAAATGGAAGAACTGACTGATGAAACAGAAGACAACGACTAGAATACATAGGAGGGCTAAGTGTAGGGCACAGTATCTGATTTAAGAACTTGGATTCTGGTGTTAGCCTGGGTTTGAATCCTGACTTTGCCACTCCCTAGCTCTGTTATCTTGTGGGGCTCTAGAAGCCTTGCTTTCCTACCTAAAAAATAAGAAAAGTAATGATTTGTGACATTATTATAAGGACTAAAAAAGATAATAGATATAGGGCTCTCAACACAGTCTTATAAAGCTAACAAATGTTAATTATTGCTTAATAATTATTTGCATATTAATTATTAATTGCCTATTATTATTCATCAACAACTAAGATGAAAACAAAGTTATAAAGCAATAAAATTAAACTTAAGTTACAATGTAAAGAGGTAATTACTCCAATTTTATACATTTTCGAAGAAGTTCCAGATGACTCCAGAGAATTTCTCCTCGAGGAACTCGCTGAAAAAAATCTTCTTGGTTGAGACTACATAATTCTCTTCCCGAAATGTTGAGTGTGGTGAGGTCTATATCGGTCATGCTGAATTCCTTCATCACCCAAACCACCCAGTGTAGGACTTGGTCTGTGGACCACTGTATAGGATCTAGAAGGAAAAATACTACCTTTAGTCTAATTCCATCTTAGATATTACATAAGTTTATCGTTAATCTGTGAATACATTCACATACACACATGCACACACACACACACACACACAGATAAAATCCACATAAATCTGTGATAGATATTTCCCCCCCAAATTGTGAAGTAAACTCATCATATAAAGTAAAATAATTTTTATGCTATATTTTATCCTCCGCTGCTTTTCAATTTCTTAATTTAAATTTCTGATGGAGTCACTTGGCCCCACATCAGTTAGTCTGGAATTTTATCAAGAAAAACAAAATGCAAAATTGTTCTCCAGTGGGCCAAATGTAAAAATAAAATATGTGATTATCCTGGAGAAAAGAAAATAAATTATCCAAGTTTAAAAAATTATTTTATAGAAATGAGAATGAACAAAAAAGAATAAAAGTGAAAATAAATAAATAACAAAAAGAAAAAGAAAAAAATATTTTACAGCAGTGTCTTATTTGGTACGTTGAAAAAAACTATAAGAAGATTCTAGCGAGCCAGTCTTATTCTCCTAAATGTGAACAATGTACTCTTTCCTCCCTGTAAAAAACTGTTGCTTCTGCATTTACCCGTATAATGGCACTTACAATACAACATGCTGCCTGTTTATTCAATTATCTCCTGACAAGATGTTATGGTCTTAAATACAAAGACCATGTCTTGTAAATTATTCTATCTTCAGAGCCTACCACGGTGTCTTGAACATAGATGTGCTGAATTTTTAATGGTATATCCAAATAATTTAATTTTCCCCATCATTTTTTATCTGATTAAATTAACAAATGAAAAAGATGGCCAACATCAATATTACATCACTGAATCTCTGACACCTAATAGAGCATTCTACCTGTGGAAATTTAATAAATACTAGCTGAATTAATTTTGGCACTGTATTCCTGCTTTAGGATGATAATCTATTTAAACAGTATTGGTTATATTCCTAATAAATGAATGCTAGACAATACAAAAGTAAGTGGAAAAAATAGCATTTAGGTACGTATCAATGGCCACTTTACAGTGAAAATGAGTTAAACATAAGAATACAGTATCAACAGCCATTGAATACTTTTTTCTTAAATTTTTCCACAAAGAAGTTAAAAGGGAGGAGGATTCTAGGAAGACAGTTTTTAAATTTCTTTGAATGCATACATAAAAACAGAAAAATCAACTAGAGAACAAAACCCAAAACCCAAAAGCCCATGGACATTTGTTTACAATAAAGCCAGGTGATAAGTTAATCCCCATGGACCCCAAAATATATGTGGGTGAAGACCAAGCAATATCAGCCACAGACTTCCATGGTTCTCAGTATCTGTACAAGAGAAAGCAAAAGGAAGCAAAGGGATATCTGCTCCATTCTGAGCATAAGAAGACCTGAACACAGCCAAGAAGTATTCATTGAAAGCACAACAGGCCAAGCTGAAAGCAACAGCTTAAAAGTGGTCTTGCCCAATCCAACAGCAGCTGAGTGCAGGGTCCATGGGAAGGTTTAAAGGAGTGGAGCAGTATGGCACCTGGGAGTTTTCAAACTTAGCCAAGGATCACTTCCAGGACGGTTGTTCACAATAAGGAGAAACTGGCAGGAGTGAAATCAAGTGTGAGCAGCAGAGGGACACCAAGGAAAAGAAAAGAGAAGGCCTAAATAAAAGTGGAGTAAGGGGACAAGGCCTGAGAAAGCAGGCTGCCCTACTTTTGAATACTTCTTAAAAACAACAAAAGAGGGAGGATTTCTGTTAAGTTACAAAAGGTATCCTGACCCACACCTCCCTTTAAAAGTCCAAGAAAGCTTACTTTACATAAAAATGAACAAAAAAGTATCATGATCAAAAAAGTTAGGACAAAATATAATTAGTCTGATTTGTTTTCTCAAATAACATCAGGACTTCTGGTTTAGCATAACTAATTGTCCATGCATGTTCTGCCTCTTTTCTCTAAGACCCTCGTAAAATGATAGCAAACAAATTTTTAAAAGATGAAAAATCATAGAAACATGAGTACAAAGTGACAAACAAGGGTGGGAGATTCAACTAATTTTTTGAAGACAATAAGCAGAGTGATAAACAATTTAGCAGAGTAGGAGAAACTATGACCTAAAACGTCCGCCAAGGAGGATACCAATAAGTGGGAGAATTTTTACCTGCAGAACCCCCTTTACTGGCTCAGGTAATGGTGGCAGAAGAGGCTTAAAGCTGAAAATGAGGGGACTGATTTAAAGTATATAGTGCGCTTAGAACCTTGAGTGCCTCTCGGTCATTCCTGGGGGCCAGCTGAATGGGAGCATCCCACACATTGTGCACACCAGGAACACTTTAGATAGGGAGAGACATGAAGTAGATACTGGAAGAACACTTCCCACTCATAAAAGTCTACAAACTAAAGAGTGAGGCCCTCTCAACCTACTTCCTGTCTCACTTCCTTTTCCACTTCCAGAAGGTAGTATTCATATACACATCAATCCCAAATGCCCACCCCAATCTTCTACTCCAGACAGGTGTTTGGCCAATTCTCCAGAGATGATGAAGAGACCCAGCAAAAAGATCTACACATACTGACACATTTGAAAATCTACTAATGTGTAGATTTTAGCAGCGTATAGTCAACAAATCCTTCAGAACTTCAAACCAATTCTGTTTAAAGTTTTAACTGAATTGTAAACAGACTGGCAAAATAATCAGATATTTGAGAGTGACTAAAAAACAAACCGTTAACCAAACAAAATAAACAGAAAAACAGAGGAAGCAGAAATTGTGCAATAACAAATTAAAACCATTATAATCAACATACACAGAGAGATAAGAGAAAACATGATATCCATAATCAGAATGCTATGTAAAGAAACTAACAAAAATAAAAGCCTTTGTAAATTAAGACTAAAAATCAGATAGGTTGTAACATAAAGACATGAAAATTTGGCAGAAAGTAGTACAAATAGATAAGAAGATGAAAAATAGGGAAGAAAAAAGATGTAGAGGATCAATGCAGGCATTCCAGAAAAAAGAACACAGAAACACAGAAGGCAATTATCTCCTACCTGTAGGAGAAAATGAGAGAACAATGAGTAAATGAGAGAATAAAACTAAGGAAAAGGAAAATATGAGATCCAGGAAAATGGGGGATCCAATACTACGGAGAAGTAAAGGACAGCTCTGCAGCAGATCTAGAAAAGACCCAATCCAGATATACTTGAGAATTTGGGAAAAACTAACAACAGGTACAAAACAGATGAATGGAAACAGGAGAAAGTAAGTTTTGGTATATACAGAAGCCTATACACCTTAAAAAACAAGACAACTTTGAACTTCAAGAAAATTAAAAGCTGTATAAACATAATTGTATTCATACAAAAAAATAACAAAAAAATGCACATTCATAAGGCACAATGACTAGTGATTTTTTTAAAAGTTATATAATAATATTAACAAAATGGGGAAAGGTCAGGTTTTATTTTGTTCTGTAGGGAAGAGAAGTGTAAGAGAACTAAACCATATCTACTATAACAAGAAGTCAATGATTAAAAGCAGTAAAGCATAAAGTGATTGCACCTGGGGAGCAGGAGTGACGCTAGAAAAGCTGTTAGAGAACTACTGTTTGCTGTAAGACTTTTTTTTTCTTTCTTTAAACCAAACTTAAAAGATATACAATAAATGATACTGCTTACCCATGGGGGGCTGAGAAGGAGCTATGGAATTGGATAGTGAGTTTGATATAAATGAACTGTATCTGTAATACTTTGTGTGAATATATGAGGGATCTCCAAAACGTTCATGGAAAGATTCATATTATCTTTTTATTCCATTTTCCCAAGAACTTTTTGAAGTACCCTTACATAATATTTTTAAATGTTAATATCTGACAATCCTGGGAACGAAAAATATGAATGTCTTTTTTTCATTACTCAAACAAGTGCAAGAAAAAATAAAAATGAATAATCTCAGCACATCTATCTTTTCAATATTCTTATTTAATAAAGGACAAGAATAAATATTTTGACTTTGATTTTACTTTTAGTTAGTTTTAACATTCCCTATAGCCCATCATTTTTTTCAGCTAGACTTCTAACTACCACAGAAAAATAGAATTAAAAGATAATATGCCTCTTTCCATGACTTTTTTTTTTTTTTTTTTGGCAGCTGGCCAGTATGGGGATCCGAATCATGAACTTTTTTTTTTTTTTTTTGTCTTTTGTATTTTTTCCATGTCCGGCAACGGGTCGCAACCCTCAGTGTTGCCCCCGTACTGGACCGGGGACCGGCAATGGGATTGCAACCCTCGGCGTTGCTCCCGCGCCTCGCTCAGCCAGTGAGCAGGAACCGGTCTGTATGTGGGATCCGAACCCTCGGGCGGGAGCGCCGCTGCACTTCCCAAGCGGCGCACTTATCCAGTGCGCCACCGGGCCGGCCCCCGAATCATGAACTTTTTGAAGAACCTTCATATTTGTTTCTCCAGTACTCTTTCCCACCTGCCCCCAAAGAAAGTTTATATTTTGTCCATTTCTCTTTTTTTAAAAAAATTTTTTATTGAATCAAAATTGATTATACATATTTCTGGGGGGTTCAATGCTGAGAGATGTTGATCAAATCAATACTACTAGCACATATATTGGTACAAATTGTACTTATTCTTTACGCCCCTTGCCCAATCTCTCCCCATCACCCCCCCCCCAATTACGCTAGATTTCTTTTCTCTTTCTGAAAGAATAATGGTTACTCTGTTGATCTGTTGCCTAGACGATCTGTCCAATGCTGAGAAGCATGATCAGGTCCCCCAACATTATTGTAGAGCAGATGCTTCTTCTGTCACTCTGGAATGGGCTTTGTGGAGAGAAACATCCTCTTCTTTATCTCTGCTGGTGACTCTCCTTGTGTCAATGCCCTCCAGTGGCTGGCAGACCATCTGTGTGGTGGTTGTGGTGTCTAGCTGCTTTTGCAGCAGCCATGGTTATTGTGGTGGCCATGGTGGGCCACCCACACGGAGGTGGTCTTTTTGGCATGCTCCTTGGCACTGGCGGTATGCCTGGTTGTGGTGGTGGTGGGGTGTCTGGTCCCCGACTCCATGCCTTACATCCCTGGGCGGGCTGAGGCACTGATGGTGTCTCTGAGTGGGAACTAATTTTTGTGCTTTGCTTAAGTAAAGTGGGGGAACTTCCTGTTGGGATGAGTACTTGAGCTCTGTGGTTGAGCTAAATTGCTGTTTTGCTGCTGCTTCCCTAGGAAAGGCTTTTTGTACAGCTCAGGTTATAATGGTTGACTTTGTAGGTACTTCCAGCTCTCCAGAGACTTGGTGCACCTGGGTTGTGTAGAAACTGATCTGGGCCTGAGAGTCTTTTCATCAAACTGCACCCCGTGCAATTCTATATTCCTGATCAGTCTCCTTTGAGTGGTCCTATGCCTACTGGGATGCAGATCAGCTGTCCTTGCTGTGCCCCAGTGTTCCCCCGGTGTGCCCATCTCCCCACCGCTTGTGTTGCAAACACTTCCCGTGGGATGGGCCGTGTGCCAGTCCCTCGTGATGTCTCACTGGCCTCTGAGTGGCTCCATTTTTTCAGTTGTTGTGGCTCTTTGCTCCTATGTGGGTCCACAGGAACCCTACTAGTGGTCTTGCTGGCCTGGGGGCCACAAAGGCCCTCTTCCCCCCCTGCCGCCTCCAAGCAACTCCATCCGAAGGTGCACAGATGCGGCTTTTGCCGGCTCCGGCTCCTGCTCCGTGTGCTCAGTAGCTCCAGGCTTAAAGTGGCTGTGGCACGAAATGGTCAGAACAGTTTTTTCTTTCTCTCATCGTAGCTTCTCCTACCTTCATGTACTCCATAGGTCTCTCTTCCTCTTCCCCTGAGCTCTAGTGGCCCCAGCTTGGCTGTTGTTGCTTTTTTTATACAGTTGTAAATTGGTTGATTTGTGGGAGAGAGTGACGCTGGGGACCATCTATTCTGCCATCTTGACCAGAAGCTGAATATCTGTTTTCTCCATTTCTAAAATGTCTATTTCTTATCATTCAGCTGTCTCTCCAACTCCACAGTTACTTTTGCCTAAGTTTACCAATCACCCTCTGATCACCAAATTTAGTAGACATTATTCTGTTGGCATTGACTTTCTTAGCAATGTCTGAATCTTGACCATCTAAACTCTCCCCTTGATTTCAGTGACACTCTATACCGTTCTTATTTTCCTTCTCTCTCTCCAGCTGCTAATTGTCTGTCTTCCTTTTTTCCAATCCTAAATGTTTATGGATCTAGAAACCAGTCTTTAATGTTGTGTTCTTTTCCATTTTCCTTTTCTCTATAATAGTCTACATATATTTTTATGTTTCAAATATAAATCTTTATCTCCAGCCAAAGTGGTGTGCTCCTGAAACTGTTTCATGGCTACCTTCATTTGAATATGTACTGCCACTTCAACATTAAGCACTATTAATAATTTCCCACAGCAGACTTCCCTACTTCCTCAACTAGGCTTTTGAAGGTATACTGTCTTTCCTGTGCACCATCATAAACCCAGCATTTAACACAGTGCTGGGCATATGGTGGTGTTTACAAACATGTAATGAAGATGGAAGCAATTTTTTTTTTTTTTTTTTTAAAGATGACCGGTAAGGGGATCTTAACCCTTGACTTGGTGTTGTCAGCACCACGCTCAGCCAGTGAGCAAACCGGCCATCCCTATATGGGATCCGAACCCGGGGCCTTGGTGTTCTCAGCAGCGCACTCTCCCGAGTGAGCCACTGGGCCGGCCCGATGGAAGCAATTTTTATCAAGATTATTATTGCCTTAGTCACCCAAGCTTGAGAAGTTAGATAAATGTTTGAATCCTCCATCTCTACCCTCATACAATTTGTCAACGTGGTTGGTCCTATCACTGTTTTCATCTACCTCTTCTTTTCCACTCCCAAGCATTCACCTAGTCACACCTACACGGCGATAATAAGCTCCTGATTTACCTTCACCCAGTCTCTACCTGCTCCAACTTATGCTGTACACCACTGCCACATTCACTTTACAATTATCACTTTTATCAAAAACAGTTCTATAATGCTACAGAGTAACTCCTTACCCACTAACTCTTCTTACTACTCATGCATACTTCCACGTCTAAGCTTTGCACAAAATATTTCCTGTCTGGAATGTTCTTCTCTGCCTAACAGTTTCTTGTCTATAATAAACTCTTCCCAGTTTTCTCCCTGGCCGCGATAATCCCTTTGAGATTCTAATAGCATGCTTCTTTTAGACAAGATTGATAGCTGAAAAATGTTACCTTTTATGGCAATTGTCTCTTTTCATCTATCTTCTCTCTCTTCAACTACACTGTGAACACCCTAAGGGCAGAAATTTTTTTTTATACTTTGTATTCCCAGCACTCAGGACAGTATTCATCCATTATGTGGGTTAAATGTGTATTACAGTCCAAAAAAAAAAAAAAGAGAGACAGATACAGAAAATTAACATTCTCCCTAAAGATTCCACATTTAAAACAGATTATAACTTACCCTAGGGTCACCTATGTCAAACTTAATTCTTATTTTTCTACATAACATATAATTACTACTTATTTTATTACCATAGGGTATCCCAAGGCGTTCTTGTTCTTTCCTATAACCTTCTAGTGCAGCAGCCCATCTTGTCACTTGTTCTGAGGTTTCATCTGAAATAGCTGTGATGTGTTTTGTGCCATCAAGAGTTATCACTTGAGCTTCCTCAACAAGATGTGCTTCTGATTCAGCATGGTGAGCATCGGGATCAATAACTACTTCAACAGTGTCCGCAGGTTTAACAATTTCAAGGATGTTTAACTTTGGCTCAAGTCCTTAACAATACATAAAAAACAAATTATAAATCTAAATGAAACACAAAAGTCACACGCACAAAAATTTAGTTTCGTTTATATGTTCCCAAATGGTAGAGAAAAACTACATCTTAAATATTCTTAGCGATATGTCTAGAGAATTTAACAGATCCCTATTAACAATAAATACAATTCAACAGAACTTCTGTAGTAACAGCATTGTCTGCATTAATTTCCTAATTTTGATCACTGTACTATGCTCATATAAAAGAATCCCTGTTTTTAAGAAAACATACACATTGATGTACTTAGAGATAAAAGCGGATCATGTCTACAACTTATCTTCCAACAGTTAAAAAAAACAACGTGTTGTTGGGGGAGAGAGAATAGAACAAATAAAATGAAAGTTAACATTTGGCGAATCTGGATAAAAGATATCCTGGAATTCTTTTATTAGCCATGCAACTTTTCTACAAGTCTAAAATAATTTTTAAAAAATAACACACACAACAAACTCTACCTACAAACATCTTCAGAAAAAAAAAATTCTACCAGCTCTTACCACAATAAGATAAAAATAAATAAAAACTAACAATATGGAACAGAAAATAAAAATTGGACTAGGTAGAGTATAAATGAGTAGCTACCCACCCTCAGTATTATAAAAAATCCCTCTAAGCAAATTAAAATTATGTGCTGACTCTGCTTTTCTTTTTAAAGAACAAAGTAAATGTGTTAAAAATGATGTTGAGTCTGTTAAATTAAATTCACATTATTAAGTTCTGCTTTTCATTTACAATTGAATAAAGACAAACCCAAATCCTGAAGATATTCAGACCCTAGTATAAACATGTGAAGAACTATAATTCCTATGGAAAAATAAAAAATAAAGTTGAGGTAAATGATACATTAATAGAGACTCCTCAATGCCTATTCACTCCAAATGAAAACGTCTAAACTTATACTTCAGAAATTATAATTAAGCTGAGAAATTATGCCATAAAAGCACTTATTTTATTTAGTCATGTCTACACAGCTCTTTCTGAGATATACTATTGTTTATCTATTCAAAATAGAATAAACTAACCCTTTATGAAATAATCTCAGATACTTGTTAAAATGACAGCTCTAAGAAACTATCATACTACTTAACAGCTACTGTTTGCTTGCTGAATGTTACAATCTATACCAAGATTTAGTCAAAGTACATTTGAAAAAGCAAAAACAACTTCAATCTCCGTGTAAACTAGTATTACAGGAAAACGTACTATCATTCATTAGGTGGTAACAAGAGAAGTCACTTTTTCGAATACACACAAGAATAATCAGAATTTTAAAAATGTTTTCCTAATGTTTATTACCTAATCCTCCATCCAAATTCCATACTTTTATGGTTTTAAGTCAACTGTTCTTAAACGCACCTTGCATTGATAGGTCATTAGAGGCTTTTAAAGATAAAAACAATAAATTTCTTTCCTATTCCCAACAATCAACCCTGGAGGAATCAAAGATCCGAAGTAGATAACAACCATTTTCAGAGTCTGAAGAAGACATTGGTTTGTGAAACACAATTGTGAGCAATATAATATGTTCGGAAACCACATTATTCCAAAACTCTTGTTAGAAATCCCAACAAGCTACATTTTTAAAAGCTAAAACTCGGGCCGGCCCAGTGGCTCACTCGGGAGAGTGCGGTGCTGATAAAACCTAAAACTCAACCTACCAAAAACGGTTTCCTATTTTTCTTTCTAAGTTATGTACTTACACAAGATTAGTAAAATACTGTGATGGATATTGGCTGACTGGGTCACTCCATATCCTTCACAAATTCCTCTTTCTGTGCCAAATGGTTGAGACTGGATGTCCTTGCAGCTAGCGTTCCAGATGTGATTTAGGCTCTAGAATCAATAAGCTTTCTGTTTGGAAATGGGTTAAGAGGAGACAAGTAGGAACACAACATCCGTTTTTTGACTAGGGTGGACCTCTGTAAACGCAGCATGGTTTCACGCTGACAGCTACAGTGGTAGCTTCCAGATGTGGTGTTTTCCATATCAGGGCAGGGCAACAGTTTCCTCTGTAGTCCAGTTCTGCAGTAAGGCTGAGGCATTCTTAGGAAGTCAGACAGAACCTGTTTTTCCAGCTGTCTCTGTGATTCTGCTATTTACTACCTTGTAACTTATCCCTTTATGATTAAATTGGGTAGAATGTGTTATACTATTTGTTTCACCCTGACAGATACAATTAAACTAAAAGCATCAATATTTGCCTATAACATCACATTAAGTAATTTAGATAACCATCTAAAATGACTAAAACTTATAAAATTGAGTTACCACATCAGAAAAACATGAGCTAAACTTTTAAATAACCATTACTAAAAGTAACTCACCTTGGTAAGAAATTACCTGTACACTAAGCTGTACAGTTCCATCTGTCTTTACTCCTTGGTCAAATAAACTTCGCTCCGGATCCAGCTAAACATGGGTAAAATGAATGAGATTATTTTAGCTCAATCATTAGATTAAGGCCCTTGCCTTTGTGGTTCAGTATAAATGGATATACCAAACAGGACTTAGTTACTTAATTAAATTGCAAAAATCTATTTAATTGTCCAAGTTGTCATATCATTTAATTCTTTACCAAAACCGAAAATATTTTAACTACTGAGAAAGTAATTAAAGACAGCATAAACCATCAAACTTATTTTAAGTGGCAGTTTTCTCTCTGGAGTCTAGTTTGGTATCTTAAATAATGCCAAAAGGCAGTTATTCATTCTATAAATGTATTTAAAGTAGACTATAATGCAGTCTCTGTCATAAATAAGCAAGGATGTTTTGTTAGTGGTGACAATTTATCTAAATCTATAAACATATTCTTGTCATATCTCTCCTGCCACATATTGAAGATCGAGATTCACTCTAAATCCCTGATCACAAAGTTTAGGACTTATGACCTTACTACTTTGACCTAGCTATGAATACGTTTAATCATAATTCCGTATCCTTTCAGTACTAGTGCTTTTTCCCCTTTATATTTCCTTACAGTGAATGCATTTCACACAATGGCAAATTGATGATAAAAAGTAATTCTGACTTTCAGAAACTTTCTGTCACCAGCTTACACAGAGGCTTCCATTATAATTATCTGGAATAAAGTACATCTGTATGTGTCTGCATATCATATAGCTGAAGGTGTAGAGCTCCTCCCATTCTCATTCCCAAGAATTCAGCTGATACTGCAGTCATGGCACCAACACATGACTTAAGTGACTATGCTTCTAATTTCAACAGGGACAAGATAAACTGTGTAATCCTGTAGAAAGACATATTAAGGAGTGAAACTGCCACATTTAACCTGTCTTTGCCTTATATTTTGTTAAAAATTCTAACATCAAGTTTTTTCTCCTTGTCTAGTAGACACTGGTATTATCCATCAGAAGCGATGGCATGTGTAACTCTGCAGTAAGCTCTCAGGCACTGAATACACTAGCTAGTTCACTAAGAGCTAGGACAAGGACAAAACTCAAACATGATGTCTGATCTGGTGTCATACTCTTCAAAGAAGTGCAACTCAACTGTTCCATCAGCTTTCAAGTCAGCATACATCTGAAAATACCAAACCATTACCACAAACAACAAGAATTCTGACTTCAAATGTATATTTGCACTAATTGCCATGGAGAACAGATGTTGTCATCCTCATATCCTATTTGAGGAGGAGGAGGACAAAGAGTTAAGCCAAATGCCCTTGGATCCAAGGCTAGCTCTGAATTCTACGACACTATGAATTATACATATTTCCATGCATCCAACTAATATTTACTGAGAACTTATGGTAGGTTGGGTACTTTGCAGGCCCTTCTTTCATTTTGAATAGGTCAAGTATTATAAAAGAAGCAACAAGTGTTAGAGCCGAAAGACAATTAAGAGATCAAGTCCAGATTCTCTTTTATTTTACATACAAGGGGTCTTCAAAAGTTCATGAAAAGATTCATATTATCTTCTAATTTTATTTTACCATAAACGTTCTGAAGTAACTTTGTATGAGAAAAATGAGGTAAAATCCAGTGAAACTGGGTTATTCACTATAAATCTTCTTTAAAAAGTCTGCCTCAAAGAAGTGAAATGAGTTGTGGAGTCAGACAGGCCTGGTTCAAATTCCAATGTACCCCTTTGTAGCCACACATTGAGCAAATTAATTAACCTCTTTAAATCTGTTTCTACATATGCAGGATGTGATTAAGAATATGGTGATTTCAAAGACTGATGTAGATTAAATGAGATAATGTGTGTTTTGTAAGTATTGTTTCACTCAACGTATCCTGCCCATAAGCTCTATCTCATTCACCAATTTTTAAAGGCTACCTTGAATTCCAATCTATGGAATTTATTTATTGAGTCACCTGTTTTTGGAACACTTGAGTTGTTTTCAGTATTTGCAAAACCATGAATGAACATCCTTATACATACACCTTTTCCCAACCAAGTGAGCATTTCTGTAGGAACGACTCATTGAGGTACAAATATAAGGTATTTCACACTTCACATTAACAGATATTAAATGCCAGACTGCTTTCCAAAAAGATTATGCTAATATATTCTCTCACTATTAAGAAGAAAAACCTTAAGTCCTAAAATTCTAACATTACTAGATCTATCTACATTACCTAGTTTTAGAAGAGCAATATTCCCCCATCTACAACATTTACTAGACTGTTATTGACAGGAAAATATTAAAGTATGGTTAAATGGCAAGTAAAATGCACAGATTTCATTAAAACATTTCAATTTACTATAAAGCAAAACCTTATTTAATAGTGGTACACAAAGATTTGAATTTTCAAAAAATTAAGGGAAAAGTTCCATACCATAAGGTAGGCAGGGGAAGGAGTAAAGAATAAAACAAATGATCCAAAAGATGACACAATATTCATTAGTACCATTAGTATAACTACAAAATAGTATAAAACTCTAGTACTTACTCATATGTTTAATGAAAGTCATGGAGAAACTATATGAGCAGCCCTATTTAGGATTCTACCTTTTACATATAAAAACACTACACTTCTTGAAAGAGTACCATAACATATGACTGTGAATAAGTTTCAAACATAATATATTATTATAATACTACCATGGATAAAATCCTACTGCAGTGAATTCCACAAAATACCAGTTTGATATTTAAATTCTTATCCAAAATTTACTGCTGGAGGAAATAAAGATGGAAGAGATTGTAAAAATCATTTAGTCAAACAATTTCTTTTTAAAGATAAGAAAACTGATGCACAAAGTTAAAAAATAGGTAGAAATATACTTCACTTTGCAAGGTCCATGTGCTTCCCATACTCTATATTTAAGCTCTGATTCCAATTTATTTAAACTTCTCATTTTATATTTGGGAAAGTAAAAAACAAATGTTTGATTTAGTACTCAACCTTTTAAATACAATTTTAAGAGGAGGAAATTTTGCTGAAAGAATTCTTTTTATTGATAAATGCTTAAGTTTTATAATAATACAGGTCAAATATACTTACAGACACAAAGGCTATAGCTATAGAGATAAAAGGCTAACAAAAGATATTCCTATGCAGACAGCAATGCTGGAATACAAATTAAAAAAAAAAAAAATTACCTGGATATCCTGCAGGCAAATTTCATGAGCATCCAAAGAACACTGTAGTCTTGGTTCTAGTAGTTTCTTTAAATTGCCTATTGGCTCATTGATGTCTATGGCCTGGCTTACACATTCAGCTGGGGTGTAAGTTTGTTCTACAATACTAAATGTTAAAGGATATATGGATTACAATTAAATTTTTTTCCCTGGATATTAAGGTAACACTATGCTCCAAACAAAATTCAATACCAAAACACATTTCTGGTCTTTGAAAACTCATTTGTACATAGGTACTTCGACAGGCTCATCACCAACTAGTGCTGCCAAACCGAACAGTGAATTTCACAAAGAAATGGTAGCTTGAAATTTAATGCACCCTTGAAAATATGCCTCATTATGGATATACACAGGTATATGTGTGTGTACACATATAAACACTGCATATACAATATTTAAGGAGAAATGTTTGTATTTATATTACATTTTCAAGTTATTTTGAAGGATTTTTAGACCTTCAAACTTTAGACAGATACACTGTCTCCTCAAAATCTGTATGCCATCTCTACTTGTCAATTTCCCTTCCCAACATAAATACAATTTAGAAAATATAAACAGATAAGACAGGAAAACATAAGTTAAATAAAATATTTTCCATTTAATATAATCTGAACACTACTAGTTATAATCACCATAGTTCCATATTAAAAAAGAAAAAAAGTTATATTCTTCCTTAAAACTCTCTTAGGACTCTTTTGTACTGATATTTTACACTTTGAATTCAAAAGGGTTAAATTCAAAAACACTAAAAGGTTAAGACCACTCATGATTAAAAATACAAGCTGGGCCGGCCCCTGGTTCACTCAGGAGAGTGTGGTGCTGATGGGTTCAGATCCCATATAGGGATGGCTGGTTCGCTCAATGGGTGAGCATGGTGCTGACAACACCAAGTCAAGGGTTAAGATCCCCTTACCAGTCATCTTAAAAAAAAAAAAAAAACAAAAAAAACAGAAAACCCACAAGCTGATCTTAAAATAATAGTACACTCTTGTTATTTGTTAAGGTAAAAAATTGAGTATTTTGGCTAAGTAAGTATTTTTATCAAATTCTTCAGCTATAGCACAGTAGGCAATATTTTTCTTTTTTTTTTGGTAACAATTATTCTTAAAAGATCCAGATATCACTTTAAGACAGATTTTTAAAGATCTGTTTTATGTGAACTGAACTCAAAAAATTAAAAAAAAAAAATTTGTTGCCATCATTTAAACCTTGGGAGACTTCATACAAAAATTGTGAATAACCTATTTCTCTAAAAAAAAAAAATGTGATTTCACATCACTGGGCTTAAACTCCTGCACAACAGTCTGCTATAGCTGGATAGCAACTACAGCTTCCTTTACACAGGCCATTTAAAAGACACTGTGGCTTCCACCTTGGCACTTTATGTCTCTCAGACCATTTGCTTTAGGGGAAGAAGCCAGCTGCCATGCCATGAGCAACCCTAGAGAAAGGCCCAGAACTGAGGAATTGGGGCAACAGTCTCAAGAGTGATCTTGGAAGCAGATACTCTAACCTCAGCCAAGTCTTCAAATGACTGTTGTTCAGACTGACAGCTTCACCACAAGCTCATGAAATACCCTGAGCCAGAACCACCCAGCTGAGCTGCTTCCAAGTTCCTGATCCTGAGAAACAATATACAATTTTAAATGTTCAGTGTTTTTTTTTTTTTCCTTTTTTTGTCTTTTTTCGTGACCGGCAACGGATTGCAACCCTCAGTGTCGCGCCCGGACCGGGACCGGCGACGGGATCACAACCCTCGGTGTTGCCCCCGCACCTCGCTCAGCCAGTGAGTGGGAACCGGTCTGTATGTGGGATCCGAACCCTCGGCGGGAGCGCCACCATGCTTCCCAAATGGCGCACTGTAGCAGTGCACCACCAGGCCGGCCCCAAATGTTCAGTGTTTTAAGCTGCTAAATTTTGCAGTAATTTGTTACAAATATATATATATACATGAATATCAAGAGAAGCATGCATTCTCTCTATTCTTTCTTCTGCTGGAAAAAATAGGGTAATCAAACCAGTTGAAAAGCTCTATTAAAATGTTAAGATTTTAATGTTAAATGTTTAAGGTGTTAAGCTCTATTAAAATGCTTAGCTCAGGTTGTTAAATCTTCCTCCCCCCCCCCCCCCCCGGTTTTTTTTTTTTTGTTGTTGTTGATGTTGTTGTTGTTGCTGTTTGTTTGTTTTTGTGTGAGTGTGTGTGAGTGTGTGTGTGTGTATGTATGTGTGTGAATTGATTCATTCACCTTTAGCTCCCTCCAATAAGTGAAAACATGCGGTATTTCTTTTTCACTGCCTGACGCGTTTCACTTAATATTAGGACACATCTGGGTGGGAGGGGGGAGAGGGAGGAGGGAGGGAGGCTTTGGTGATGGGACACAATAACTAACTACATTGTATATTGACAAAATAAAAATAAAAAAAATAAAAATAAAAAAATAAAACAAACAAACAAAAAATAAAATAAAATGCTTAGCTCAGTTCGTTAGAGTGCAGTGTTATTAACACCAAGGTTGAGGGTTTGGATCCCTATACCAGCCAGCCACCAAAAAAAAAAAAAAATTTTTAGGTTTTAAAATTTCAACTGCACTCTCAACCCTCAGTATCCTACTCAACCTTAGTTATCTTGTTCAGTCCCACTGTTGTTGTTCTAAACCTCCTGTTACTCTCCAAAGGCTCTCTACTGCTCTTCAGTCCCCTTTACTTTCAGCATATTATCTCATCTTCTGCTTTACAGAGTAAAATAGGGACCAACAACTATTACTTACTTTCTTGTTGACTCCCAAATCTCTATTTTTTTTTTTTGGACCGGTAAGGGGATCACAACCCTCGGCACGGTGCAGTCCACACCACGCTCAACCAGTGAGTGCACTGGCCATCCCTATATAGGATCTGAACCCGTGGCCTTGGTGCTACCAGCGCCGCACTCTCCTGAGTGAGCCACGGGGCCAGCCCCAAATCTCTATTTCTATTCATAGTCTCTCCTTGGATTCTGAACTCATTACCACTTCCTCTCTTTCAAATAATAATATTTCATTATTATTCCAAGAACTAACATCTTTCACTATACTTTATGCTCAGCATTGTGCATATAATTACTCATATATCTGTACGTCTCCTCAAATGCAATGTGGCCTCTATAAAGGCAGATTGTATCTCATTTATTCATATATTCTTGAAAGTGATTAGTTCATAGCAGTTACTTATAAATATTTGTTAAAGTAGTTCAGGTTGAATTAAACACTTTCTGAAACAAAAGTAACCAGCACTGAGGAAAAGAATCAAGAATAAAATAGTACCCCAAAGGAAAAAACTACTGCAATCAATTTCTTGATCATTATCAGCTACACTTACTTATTACTACCTTTAGTAGTAATAAAACTGTTTAAAACTGTTTTCTCTCTCAGCTACAAACTTGTTAAGTGAGCAGAAAAAAAAGCAACACCTTAAAATGCTGAGGTAAGTTTTTTAAAAAAAGCCCAATCAAGCCCAATGGCTTGATTGCTGATTTTATTTAGGTATACTGATAATACAAAAAAATAATAAATTCAGAAAACACAAACCTTTCTTCTGTGCACTCTGATTTCTCTGTTCCATCGATTTCAATTTCTATGAGTTCCTCTGCTTCTCTTTTAGTCATGGTTGAAGTATTTCAAAAGATCAGTCCTGCAAGAGTTAAATATTAAGAGAGTTTGAAATTACCTGCATAAACAGAAATGATACACAAGCAGACCCAATTCAAATAAAGGCAGAGGGCAAGCAGAAGAGGGGGAAGTAATCTTCACATATAAAAGAAAATCCACAAATGACATTTATAAGCTAGTTTTTGTTTAACTGTTGTTTATTAGCCTGACATGATGACTTCAACATTCTATTGGATTTAGCGGGATGTTTTTGGCCCAATCTCAGTCAGTAATTCAAGTTACTTCAAAATCAAGTGACAGGTATGTTATATCAAAGCAACTCATAGTCTCAATAACAGAATTTAAACCTGAAACTTAACACGGAGATGAACTACAATGGTTCACCTAAAAGTTGTACCTTTTTTAGCAGAATTTACTGCAAAGCACTTTATCTATAGTGATATAAATTAAAATTAATTGTAGCTGATTTGTTACAAATTACATATTTTATAAATCCAAGTACAATATTCTAAAAGAGCCAAATAAAGAAACAAATTATAGAGATGTGCATTACTGCCCTGATTACACACTAGAGTTTTTTATTTTTTTTAATGGTTTACTTTTTCAGATGTGGTTTTACTTTAAACAAACCACTATATCAGTTTTTAATTACCTCTTGTGAAATTATTACCTAGTGCTTTAAATGATTATTGAGGGCCGAGCCCGTTGCGCACTCGGGAGAGTGAGGCGCTGGGAGTGCAGCAGTGCTCCCGCTGAGGGTTCGGATCCTATGTAGGGATGACCGGTGCGCTCCCAGTGCTCACTGGCTGTGCGCGGTGCGGCCGGTCTCCAAAAACGACAAAAAAAAAAAAAAAAAAGATTACTGATACAAAAACATTATAATTTTAAAAATGCTAAGTAATGCATAAAACAGCTACATATATTAGTATTTCTTCATGGCTATTTCCAAAGTGTTAATGCTGTAAGTTCCAGGTTCTGCTACTACCTACCTTACTGTAAGTCAACGAATCTGTCTATGGACTTCATACAGTAGGGTACTTCAAACAGTTCACGGAGAAGTAGAATTAAAAGATAATATGAATCTTTCCATGAACTGTTTGAAGTACCTTCGTATAGTCAGTCCACAGCTCCTTCAGAGTAGGTTTCTAAGTTTACTACCACATCTAAAATAGTCGTATCTTGGACTGATAAGCAACACTCCCCTAAATTTGGTATTCCAACATTTGCAAAGGAGTGCTCCCACTTACAAGATTTGACAAAAGAATTCAAATCATCATTCTTACTAATAAGAATTATTTGTTGAACATCAGGTACTGCATTCAAATGCTTTAAACAGAACTATCTTTTTGAGCCCATCCTCATATGAAGTATTCAGAGGTTAGTGAGGCTAAACCACCTGTGGCTTCATGTCACACTTCAGATGTATCAACCAAAGCACACATTACTCCAGGTGGGCCTGAACCATGCTTTGTTCACAGACAGGCTCTATACTGCATACACTAGTAAAAGAGCCACCACCTGGAATACTGCAATCACTTCCTAATACAATAGTGTGGTTCATTTTAAAATTGAAGTTAGATCATGGTATTTCTTTGATAGATATACCAGTCTCTGTAAAATCCAAAGATTTCACCATGACCAACAAGGCACTACATGATCTACCCCCCCATCCCCACCCCATTGTTGCTCTCACGCCATCTCCCACGTGTGCCTCCTTGTTTGTCCTTGCATTTTCCTGTTCTATGGCCTTTGCTCTCATTGTTCAGTCTGCTTGGAACCTATTACCCCCAAATGTCCTCTTGGCTAAATCCCTTACTTACCTCTTTAAAGTCTCTGCTCAAATATCACCTTCTCAATGAGGTTTTGCCCTGATCACCCTCATTTAATTCTGTAATCTGTCTCTTCTTTACCCTGTTTTCTTTTCATAGCATAGTATAAAATACTATATCATTAATTTAGCATTATCATTCATTTATTATATTTATCATTTTTCTTCCCTTGTTGAATCTTCATCAAAGTGTGAAGACCAAAATTGTCCAAAAGTGACCACAGGAACTTAACTTGGTTTGTCCAGACCAAGAACTTCTCCTACTGTCTTTAAGTGGGAGGGGCCTTACCAGGCCTTAACTTCTCAAGGGATCGCGTTCTCTATGGTAGGCAGAATGATGACCCAGAACCTGAGAATATGTTAAATTATATGGCTAAAGAGGATTAGGTTGCAGATGGAATTAAGGCTACTAATCTGCTGACCTTAAAATACAAAGATTATGCTGGATTATCTAGGTAGGCCCAGTGAAATTACAAGAGTCCTTACAAGTGGAAGAGAGAAATAGAAGAGAGAGCCAGAGAGATTCAATGTGAGGAGGACTCTAATGCTTGGCTGTGACCAGCTTTGATGTCAGAGGGAAAAAGCCACAAGCCAAGGAATGTAGGTAGTTTTTAAAAGTTAGAACACAAACAGATTCTTAGAGGCTCTAAAAGAAATTTAGCCCTGCCAACACCTGATTTTAGACCAGAGAGGCTCATCTGAGACTTCTGACTTCCAAAACTGTAAGATAATAAAATTGGTTGTGTTTTTAAGCCACTGTATTTGCAGTAAGTTTTTACAGTAGCACAAGGAAACTAATACAGTCTCCCTTCCCACTTTAGAAAGGGCTGTAACTCTCCTCAGATCCCAGCATGTATAACTGCTGGGTAGCTGGTTTTCTGACAACTTAGTCTGTAAATAGCTGGCACCCAAATCTAGACTGCCTGGTACACAACTGGTCTGATTTTTCCCACATTATTTTTGCTCTCACACTTGCCCTCTAAGGACAAACAATAGAACGCAGGGTTCTCCACTCAAATAATAGATGCATGTCTAGCAGACTACCTAGGCCCCAGCAGGCTTCTCTTTGAGTTGATGAAAGAATGAAGGACCTTTGTTTTCTTTTCTTGCTGATGCTAGCCTAAAAAATCTTCTCTTCTTTCCCCAAGAAAGCCTATTCCTTAAGTGGTACTATGTATAAAATTATGGAATTTATCCTAAGCACTAAACAAAAACAGAAAACAAGTGCCCAGTAGGGACCATAAGCTTCACAAGGACAGGGATATTTGTTCACAGACATATACAAAGAGCTTTAAACAATGCCTCACTTGTGGTAGGCACTCCATTAATATGTGTTGAATAAATGAATGCTACAGGACTATTTCATACCATATAAAATGGACTCCAGACACCTTAAAGGCCTAAATGTGAAAAGTAAAACTTTAGAGCTAATGGAAGAAAATGGAGGGGACCTTTTTGTGGTCTAAGGATAGAAAAGGTTTCTTAAATAAAATTCCAAAAACTAACCATACGGAGAAAAACTGATGGATCTGATTACATAAAAATTAAGATTTATGTTCAATAGACAGGCTACAGAATGGCAAAGACATTTCAAATACCCAAAAGTGACAAAGGACTAATGGAACAGATGACAACCTTCTGGAAAAACAACAAAAAAAAGTCAGGACAAATTAGAAAAGTAGGCAAATCACAGAAAAGAAAATTCACATAAAGGGAAACCAAAATGGCTCAGGATATGAAAAAATGCTCAAATTTAAATCATTCAAAAAATACAATTTAAAACAAGGAACTATCATTTTTTACTGTGTATGTACAGCAAATGTTAGGGGAATAATGAGAAGAGTTAGTAGGGACATGTGGACATAAAACTCCTATGCCTCTATTGATGGAGTACAGACAAATCTATGTATTCTGGGGAAAAATCTAAGAAAAGCATACTAGATTGCTCAAATCAAGCATGCTTATACCTATGACCAAGCAATCTCACCCGAGACAAACACTTAGAGAAATTTTCAAATTGGTAATAGGATGTTCAGGGCAGCTTTGTTGGTGAAACCTGGAAGCTGGAGCCAAACCAAGTATCCATGGTAAGAAAGCATCCAACTACGAAAAAAAAAAGTGGAAAAACTACACACCACAGAATTTTAGTACCAGTTATAAACAAGAAAATAATGTTCACACAAAATAAATCATAAAAACTGAAAAGAGTGAGAAACAATAAAGTTTACGGCAGAAAAACACTTAAAAAAAATCATTTGTTTTACTTTCAGGGTTCACAAGGAGGTCCACTCTCATCTCCATAACCAATTTTTCTAAAAAGATTGGAAAATAAGTGGATTTTCTGGGAACTTTAGTAAAACAGAAGAGGATATGAAGTAGCAAGAGGCTAAAAAATAGCCCTAATGGCTTATCAGCAGGGATACCTGGGGCTCCCTTTAATATAAGGACTAAAACAGAAAGTTAAAAAGAAATTTATCCTATGATCTTTCTAAAAACGTTGTAGACCAGTCCCTGGAAAGTACCACATAAAGAAAAAAATAAACCCATACACTTTTGGAAAAAAGTCATGATACTCAATCTCTGAATTGATCTTTCTCTTTCTCAGTTCTCTAAATTTAGTCTAAGCAATGGAGAGATTTGGGAAATAGTCCAAATCTCTTATATCAGTGCTTGAGAAGGTCTTTGCTCTTTTTCTGGAACCAATTCCCCAGGATTCTATGACAATACTTACGTAAATGGAGACGAGAGGATCCCTTGGAGCCTCTCCACCTAAAGGCTGCCCCCAGCATAACTGCAGAGAACAACCTCACATACTTTCATTGATACCCTGGTTTTCCCAGATTAAATCTAACCTGGAGTTCAGAACATTTCACAAATTGGACACAAACTAAACCAGAATTTAACTAAGAAAGGCTAGTGTACTTTCCCTTTTGGAACCAGATAAATTTGAGGATTGCCTTTCTTCGTTGGAATGCATTATTAATTTGCAAAGCTTAGGACACTTTTTCTCAATACAGGATAAACAAACATAAGAGCAGTCTGAGAGTACCTGTATGACCAACTGCATATTTTCCCAAGCTAACAAATACTAAGTACCTGAGGAAAAGACATTTTTATTTTTAAAATAAAGTCAACAGTTAAGAAAAAGTAAAGCACCTATGTATGTGCATATACATAAAGAGAAAGCAAACATT